GCGCTCCCCAGCCTCTGATGTCAGGCGCGGCCCGCGGGGCTGCGGGGCTGGGGGGCATCCGCTGCCCACCCGAAGCCTACACCCATGCGGGAGAGAACTGCCTCGCCTTGCCGCTGTCAGGCTCTGAACCGGACCGTCTCTCGTTGCCCCTCTACGTGTCTTCATCACTTTACCTCGCCCTCCTTTAAATGAAGAAAAATGACATGAAACTGTCAGGGGATATTTGTTTTGGGTCTTTAAACCTAGATGCCAGTCCTTTCCTTCCCCTCGCGCGACATCCATGCACTGCGTAGCCAAACGAGAGGGCGGAAAGGAAAGGAGGTGGTGGGCGGGTGGAGGGAGGTCAGCCAGGGTGTGGTGGACTGTGAGTGTGCTAGAGGGCTCCACTGTCACCCCGTTTGGTCTCTGGCCCTCCCTCCCCTCTCTAGGCCCAGATCCCTCCTCTGGGCGCCTCTGTGGGGCCATAGGTGCCTGCGAGAGAGCAGGCACCGGTAATGAGCGCACCTACTTCTAACCAACCTCCATTTTATCCTAAATCTGCTGCCCCATGGGAGAGAAGGAGCAATGACGCCCTGAATGTCAGCATGGCCATCTCCAGGACAAAGCCCTGGATTCCCTGACCCTTGGTCCTCCGGGCTGACAACACCACTCCTTGCCCTAACAAGTAGGTGTATCGGGACAATGAGCTCCTGGAGGACAGGACAATGACCTCCCATTTGTCTCTAATTCACCTGACCCATTAAGATGCACAGAATAGTCCTGAGCAGGGGAGAAAAAACGAGCAAAGGCCAAGCGTTAGAAGCACTCCCAGAAGGATCATTCAACATTCTGATTAATGAAGGTTTTACAAAGCTGTCTTTTACTATCCCGCTACCAGGTGGTCTCGTTTTTTTAAGGGCTATTTTCACTGCTGTATAGTGTTCCATTGTGTGAATATATGAGTTTATTTATTCATCTATTGTAAAGGGATATTTCAGTTGTTTCCAATGTTTGGTTATTACATATATTGCTGTTCTGAAAATTCTTGTACATGTTTTTTTGTGTGCGTGTGAATATATGTAGCAAAAATATATGTATATTTCTTCTAGGTATATAACTAATGTAGAATATACATAGAGCATGTATATTTTCAGATTTAGTAGATATTTCCGCCTTTCCAAAGTAGTGTACCAAGCACCAGTGGTATATGAGAGTTCCAGTGTTTCATATCCTTGCCCACACTTAATATTGTCAGTCTTTTAAATTGTAGATATTCTGACGGTTTTGTAGTGATTTCTCATAGTAGTTTTAGTTGTAGGGTTTTTTTTGTTTTTGTTTTTGTTTTAAGCGGCTTAGGACAGTGTTATCTTTCTTTAAAGAGGATTTGCATTTGGTCATGCCAGGCACTAGAGAATCCTAGCAAACTGGCATTCCCTTAATCCAATTCGGAGATTGAGATGATGTGAAGCTGGACTGAAATCTTTGTGAGAGCAAGTCTACTTGCAGTCCAAACTTATTACTCTGCTGAAGTTCTTTGGGTTCTCATCCCAATATGAGGCTGTCTCCTTTGGTGAGTCATCGACTCTTAACTTTTTACCTCATTCCTTTGAGACTAAGACACTGCTCAGGTTCTCAGCTGACTGGCCCAGAATTAGTAAGTGCTCCAAGGGCAGAAGTCGTCTAAATGTTGAGCACCTCTTTCCAGATGCCCATTTTCTCCAAGATCGAGCGAGGCCCACTACATCTTGACTTTTTCCAATATCTTCAAATACATTTTTAAAAGCTGTGCCTAGTTTTTCTTGGTGTCCTGAATGAATTACCTAGTCTTCTATCAGAAGAGGCACAGAGTTCTTTTTTATTGCTTCTTATTCCGTCTCTGTTTTACCAATATTCTCTCTTACATCTTTGAATATATTTGTTATATTTATTATACTTATTTTACACTCTTGATTTGTCTGTAGTATGCGTTGTATGTATTTTCAAGTGGTTTTACTCCTCAGGTCTCTACTGATTTTCACTTATAAGCTCATTCTCCTTGTGGTTATCAGCTGCCCATTCTGATAATGGATAAGGGATACAATGAATGTGTTCTTGTCCCTCCTGGTGATTATGAAGGAAGGAGTGAGGACAAGCCCAGAACGGAGAGCCTTGGGTACTCCAGAATTGCTATTCAACATCCCTTTTGCTTTCATTTCATAGAGAAATTTCTCTAGTCTGGGGTTTCTGTTTAAATTCTTTGTGGAGAAAAGAAAGCGTGAAAAGAAGACCAAATCTTTAGAATGGTCAGTCACTATTCATGAGGAGATCATCCACTGTCCTTGAAATGGCCATCTGTCATCCATGAGGATTTGGGGGAGAGTGGAATGGAATAATAAAATGCCTGGGCATCTAGTTAGCCTGCATTGGTTTTATCAGAATCTCAAGGCAGCATGGCTCTGGTATTACTCTGACATTTCTGAGCAGCCAAGCTATTGCCACTGATTTTTTTCTTCCCGTGGCAGAAGCCACCGGTCATCTTTTCTGGAAAATATGGGAGAGAGGAATGAACAGAACTTAAAACGTCTGCACTACCCTCTCTTCCCACCTCTGTACCTGCAATCCCCATCTCAGACTACTACCGACTTTTCATATTAGTTCACCCCAGCTTTAGTCTCCTCAGGGGTTACTCACAGTTTTTATATTAGTTCCTCCATCTCATTTCTATAATTTCGCTATCACTGGTTTTTTGGGAGGCAATCAGAGTACAGGGCTAGTTCTCTATCCTGTCAGGCACTAGTATCTCTCTTTTTCCTCCGTTCATTCCTTATCATTACTATTAATGTCTTCTTCTTCCTTCTTCCTCTTTCTCTTTTTCTTTTTCAACCCTAGGTTTATTGTTTCCTTATCTCTCCTTTTCAAAGTACTCTGCGAGAGAGTCTTTAACATTTATTTTTATTTCTATACTCTTTCCTCTTGACTTGTTTTAACTTGTATTTTTCATGAATAGCCTTGATTCAGTTATTCTAGTTAGGAATCATTCACCTGAGTGAGAAACTGAGCTTCTCTTACTGAAGTTCTTACTGAGGTCCATTGAAGTGGAGCTTCCAGGCTGTTGCACCTACAGTGGGAGTGGGGAAAGTCAATATTAAACTACTGTATGTGTAAATTGGCAAATCACATTCAGTGCTGCCTGGATGGCTTGAGAGCTAAACAGTGTGTGGGGTTGATGGAAGGTTGGGCCCACAATAAAAATTCAGGCCAATGATGAGGGAGGTCAAAAGGAGTCTAAATATAGGCGAAATTTCTGCCTCACAGCCTGAGGTTGTAATCTTTGCTGATGACTCTTTAATAAAGAGGGGATTGGTTACTGTAAGAAGATTAGAAGTTTCAATAATTGGGGAGATTGTTAACAGAGGGCTCCATGCTTAATAAGACACCATAAGACCCATAGTTGCAAGAATTTTCACGAGTGACAGACAATTAGGTTGTGAGCTCATAGACCTCTTTATTGTGCTCATAGAATGCTGTGGTGTTCTCTTGATGGCTGGAAAATGGAATGAGATTAGAAGAGGTCTCAAAAGGAGACCACTCCTTATTCTATGGACGGTCTGGGTTTCAGAGTTATCAGTGATTGGATAAACTGATAAATTGGTTGGATGAGTAGATGAATTAAGGAAAAGTATAAAAGGATCCATGGGAAATGAAATGGAATGATTTGTGAATGGGTGATTTTGTAGGTGAGTAGATGGATAGATGAATGTCTAAATGAGTGGATATATCTATGTATGAATGGATGTTGGAGTAAATAAATGCAGATAAATGCATAGATAGGTGACTGGAAGGACGATTGGTGGATTGATAAATGGAATAGGTGGAACGTCTGGATAGATGAATGGGTACGTATGTATATATGTAAGTTTGCATCATATGTATGTTAATGGAGTAATGAAGAAGTAGGTAGATAGGTGTTTAATGGATGGATGGGTGTAACAGATGGATAGATACAGAGCTACATAGGAATGATAGGTAATGAGCAAGTGTATAAGTGAATGAAGGCAATGGATATTGGATAGATGGCAACAGGGTGAGCTTTGAAATAAGCATCCTGACCTTGCATACTAGCTGTGTAACATTGGGTGAAATCTTTTAATTTCTCTAAGCTTTGGGAAATTTTTAAATATCCAAGAAAAAATGTCACGAGTTAGAGTGAAAATTTTATTGTTGAAAATAAATAGTTTTGAGAATAAAAACGTTCAAGAAATAAATATCATGAGCTGTGAGGGGTAAATGTCTTATTGAAAGTTAAATTTCTATAAATCCCCCAAAATATTTCAGGAGTGGTGAGGCTGTGGTGAGATTTGGAAACATTTAAGTGAAATAATATTAATATAAAACATTTTACAAATTATAATTACAAACTAAAATATAAATACTACTTATGCAAAAATATTAATATAATATGTGTAGATGTGAGGGAGGGAAAAGGAAGATTATGGATTTAATGTCCTCATCTTTCATCAAAGAGTCAAATGATAATGCCTAAATTGATGTATAGGATGTAAAAACAATTACTCTAATCTCAATGTTTTTTCTTCCAAAATCTTTTTGTAATTGTACGAGGATCTCTTTTAAAAAACTCTCTTGAGGTGAATAAATATTTATTTGAAATTGTCTAATTCTCTCAGATTCCTTTGGATTTCTTTTTCAAGTTTTAAATACAGGTGAAATTAAATGCAATAACGTTATTCACAAATAGCATATACAAAACAATCACATATTTATCAAAATATTTCAATATCCCTATTTAGTCTTTCTGAAACATATGCATGAAAAGATGTCTAGAATGATATCTTCCTAATGTAAAGGCTAATTATTTATGAGCAGTGGCATTTGAATTTTTTTAACCTCTGTGAGTGCTTGCATAATTTATAATAAGTATGTATTCTTTTTACAAAAC